TGAGGACTCGTATCGTACACGTTTAAAATCTCTGCTCTCTTTTTCACATCCTCGTCCCGTTGTTTTTTATATTGCCTGCGCATAAATCTGCTGGCTTCCGCGGGAGATCACACTATAAATATATTGATATTGGCCACATTTAAAACAACAGCTAAAGATCTGAGCAGTAAACTGGATCTGAGCTCTAAGGCTCGCAGTGTGACCGAAGCCTAAATGACATCTTGCGCACAACTAAAAATGTTTGCACCGTTAAGCTTAGTTGACTCTGCGTATTAACAAAATACTTCTAGCAGTCTCCGACGAGGAGTAACGCGGCATATTGATTAAATTGCACCAAAATCAGACTGACAGACAGACGTCAATCCTTGAGACATAAATGATGTTGACATTTACACTCATTTAGATTTTAAAAGAGAGAACATTACGGGAACAAATAACTTGTCCTCATCGCCTATGTGTGCCGTGTTATACATGACAAATATAATCAATCATAATAATAAATGTAATACATTTTTTTCTTTTTTTTTTGTAATATTATTTATTTGTGGCTCCTTATTAAATTCAAATACAGTTTCTGAATGTTATTAGTTGCAAAGCAGCTAGTAATGGCCTTTCCGCTGTGGTTTAAGTACGATCTTCCGAACGGCTGGTGCAGGAGCTGGAGATGCGGAGGAGACACACACTCCTGAACACACACACACACTCCTGAACACACACACACACACACTCCTGAACACACGACCAGGGGAGGGTCCGAAAGCAGCGGACACTTCCACTGAGATAATGATTATTGGCAAGCGTTCTTGCTGTTGATAGTGCAAAATAAACGACACAACTATCTCTCCTATATAGTATGCCAAAATAAGTTGTCAGTCTCAAATCATGGTACCTTGAAAATTTGAATAAAATATCAATCATGTGAATGAATTTGGATTTAGCTTTATTTTTTAATGCAGCATGATATACCACAAGCCTGACGCTTCTGTATGACCTTAGATGAGACTTGCAGGATCACAGAACATGTTTCTGTGTAACGTCTGAAAATGTGCTCAGCCTTAGTAGCATAAACTGTTTCTGTATCCTTACATGATCATGTGCTTGACTTTGTGTTTTTTATGAATCTCAGTCCAGGCCAGGGAATACAGGTTTAATTATTAGAAGTATTGGTGCCATTTTAAAAGTTCTAGATTGCAACTTTACAATTAAAAACAGACCATGACATAAAAAATATGGCCTTATATCAGAGAATATCTGGTTAGGACTTGAAAAGATTTCAATGTGTTTTTTTTATGGCTAACTGTGATATTAAATACTAGTCTGTATAATTAGTGTAATTGTGCTCAAATGTTTTGAAACTATAAAATAAATGATTGTAAAAAAAAAATATTGCATTATATTTGAATAATCTTGGAGAAATACATTGTAAAAAATCAATTAAAATGTGGACCAACTATATGAGTATCCATTTTTCTTCTGGTTTGGATTTAGTCACGTGATTAATTGTGCATACATAAATGTCCTGAAAAGTTTCAGATCAAAGTTTGCCAGCGTTGTCTAACAATGATTCAATTCAATTCACATTTGTTTGTAAAGCACTTTTCACAATACATGTCAGTTTTCAAAGCAGCTTTACAGAAAATGCACGTGTCTACAGTGATCTGTTATCAGAGGTGACTGTCAAAGTAATGCACTAAGATAATACGAATCATACAGTTAGCTAATATCATGTGTTCATTTAGACAGAAACAATGATCTCATTAAAGTTGTGATCATAATGATGTCAATATACATTTTGCAGTGGTCATGTTGATTCAGAGTTGCGTCATCTGACTAAATTTGGTGAAGATCTGATGAATTGTCTAAGACAATTTTGAAAAAAGTAGGTTTTTAAAAATGAAACCATGGCATGCATTCAATGTAGTTTCTAGGCCTTATTGTACAAACGTCATTAGCATACACAAGTTTGAGCCGTTGGAGGCGCTAGAGGGTTTTAGAAAGAGACCAAATTTGCTATGGTAAATGTTTAAACTGTCTTGTATTTGTGTGCCAAGTTTCATAACTTTTCTTTGTACGGTTCTATGGGCTGCTATAGACATGCCCTGAATAAAAAGTTAATTTGCATCAATTTGAAACGTTAAAAATTTGTTTTAATAGAGTTGGTTTAGTTTAGGGTTCGTGGATCACAAGTAAATATGGCTATAAATGGGGCTAGATTGTGTTATTCTCTGTCTTAAAAGACTACATTTACAGTGTAGAGACAAGGGTGCATCAGTCAGCCATTTGTGCATTACAACAATAAAGTCTTGGTGTAAGTTATATCCAATTCTACATAAAAAAGGGCGACCCAACACATTATCAAAATTGCTTATCATACAAAAGTTTTTAAAAAATGTGCTTGATATTTTAATACTGTATTAAGTAACAACATCCTTGTTTAGAGTATCATGTTTGTTCATGCACTCAAAAAAAAAAAATGCTGGGTTGTTTTAACCCATGTTTAGGTCAAATATGGACAAACCCAACCGTAGGTTTTAAAAAATGTAAAAAAAAAATTGAAACCACAAACAACAACCCAACATTTTGTGGAGTGAGTTTTTTAAAGATAAGCATCGGTTGGCATGTGATCTGACGAGCTTCTACCAAGAACATTCACACCAAAATATAGTTTGTTGCTGATTACAGCCAGACTTTGAAGCCAACGTCAACGAAAACAGGGATTGTTTTCTCTTCTCATTACAGTTCATTAACGTGTAAGTTACTTATAGATTTGTGCTACATTTCATTTGTGCTTGTTTGACCTGCTCTTCATACGGTATCTGAAATACTCAAGGCATTCTGACAAGTGAAAACAACTGAACAGAGAAGCATTTTGTGGTTGAATTCTCAACATCTCATGTCCAAAAAAGAATGAATAAAATAGTTCTGGTGATGAGTGGGTCTGTTGAATAATCTTAACAGAGATGAGGATGTCAAAGAATACTGATTTATGTGAACTTTGAAGTCTCCAAGAACCAGTGTATTCGTTGAGAAATGAATAAGCACTTTAAATGAGTGAAACATATGGACACGATACAACATGATGTAGGTTTCTCGATTTCTTGAAACTTTATATGATATAATTAAAATTCTACTTCTCTATGGAGAAAACAAATGGGATTTATCCCAACTGTTCAGGTTCAACACACCCTGAAGGAACATGTGAAGCCCTGAAAACTGGGCCAGATGAAGTCGCGTTACCAATGGTAAGATTGTGTGAAAGAAGAGACGAGAGAACGACCCGATCATTGCTTAGCAGCGAGTTTATTGGTTAAAGCACTGTTCGTGTGCGCAGGAAACACACAAACATGCACAGAGAATTGGCATTGAAAACCGCTTACAATCAAAGTGACCACTGAAGGTTTAGCTCAATCCGGTATAATGCTGGAGTGACTGGACTTGCGCACGACAGATGAGAGACGAGCTTAGTGAGTTCTGCAGTGATGTGAAGCACACAAGAGGGAGCCGTGAGCAGCGATACACGACACCAAACTGCTCATATCCCTCCAACCTGCTGCTTTTCTTGCTTCTGTGAAATTCACAATGAGATGTTCGGCAGAATGTTCAAGCTTCTGGTGATTTCCCATACAGTGATTATTGCTGGCAAGCTCAAACGACAAACACAGGGTTTCTGCGGGCCTTAATTCACCCGTACACAGAAAAGCAGGCCTTGAATTACAGCAAAAAGGTCATGGCATTAAACGTTGCATGCATTGCAAAAAATAAATATTTCCCTCTGTCCTGTTTTCCAATGTAAATATCTAAACATCTTTGATACAATTACTTGAGATGCAAATCCAAAAAGTTTATGCTTATAACACAAGAACTTTTCTCTTTTGAATGAAGTTGATTAGCAGATATTTGTTCTTGTTTTAATCATAAACTCACTTCATTTTGATCAAATTCATTTTGAATCTCAAGTAAATGTTTCTTGATTTAAGAATCTTTAAACATTTGTTGTGGAAAACAAGACCTGCTGATGAAGATCATCTCTTTTGTGCAGTGAGATCAGAAGGTACAGTAAAATATATATATTCTAGTGGTTGAGAGAAGAGCGATTCAAGCTATTTTTGCATTAAAAAGTAATGGATATCTTTTGGAAGTTGTATTTCCAAACTCTGGAGTGTTGCTGACAGTTTTTCATTCAGAGAACATATTGATGTTCTCTACGTGGACTTACATGTAGGCCTACCCTCCTAAAACCTGCAGAAACCCTGAAAGACCACAAGAGCAACCATACAAATCATGCGCCATGGTCCAAGTCTTCCGGAGACTCGAGCTTCACGTTTAGCACACTTGCCGAGAGCATGAGAACCAGTGTTGTTTGGGGTCAATAACATCAAATTTGGTATGACTTAAGGCTGCAGTTTTGAATTTAACACAAGCTTTTAAAAGCTTAAAGGGATAGTTCACCCAAAAATGACAATCCTGTCATCATTTACTCCCCTGGTGTTGATCATACAGGCTTGGAACGAGTAAATGATGACAGAATTTTCATTTTTGGGTGAACTATCCCTTTAACAGTACAAAACATCACCCTCTTCCATCACGTGGAAAAGCATCTCCTTATTGTTTCACAGAACAGAAAATAAATCATGACAAAATAGTTATTTCGGGTGAGCTACCCCTCTGCGCTCGGAAGTTGATTTCTAAAACTTTAATTTATACGTGTAAACTAGTTCAGACTGTAAAGTCTGATTAGAATTTTTTTTTTTTTACAAACGCCTTGTAAAACACTCACTGCAAGATCCCCACGAACACACACCTGAACGCTGACCAGTCTATGTTAATGTTGTTGTGTTGCTTGGCAACCGTAAACAGCTTAAGGTTACAGCTAATGGACTAAATCACCAGCCAGAGGATGTTCTTTTTACATGGTTATAATTATTAATAAATGTAGCTATTTTTTGAACATTGGTGTCTTTTACAATATTGCTGCCGCCTCTATAAACACAATTTGTACATTCTGTTGTCTGGAATACCTGATTGTGACTGAATAATGGCAGCATTCGGTGATTTGAACATGTTTTAGTGATGACGCTACAGTGATAATAATTGATCCAGACAACCAATTTCTCATATTCTGCACTTTCTTCACACAATTTCAACTTTCAATTCTTATTTATTTGGTAAGCGTCCAGGAATAGTTCTGCTTTATGTAGGAGGTTTATTCTGCTATATGCCCATGATCCCACACCATTCGAGACTGTGTTGCACTGATTTGACCACAGGACTTCCCATAACCGTGGTGAAACATGGCCTCTCGTGGCTCATTGCTCATCTTTAGACAGAATTATCCAGTGGGCAGCACATGCTTCAGCTGAAAACACAAGCCGCTACTATTGACATGGATTTGTAGAGCAAAGGGATCCCTGCACATTATGAAGCGGTGAATTATTATGTTTTAATATCAGGCCGGATTCAGCACAACGGCCGACCCTGTGTTGTGTTTACAATACGCTGAGATGCACGAACAATCCAACTGACTGTAATACTGAAGTCATCACAAGAATCGAAAAGAAAAACAAACAAAAAACTGCATTCACGCAATTCTCAAACTGCAGGCATGAAAATCTCAGCACAAGCCCAATTCCACTTTTCCTTTTTAAATAAAAGAATCTGATCAATACATCCATCTTTCATGACCGTCCGACTGTAAAGGTTATGGAAATTGAGCATTTATAAATGCTCTCCTCAGTGAAGTCCATTTCTGTGTGTGTGTGTGTGTGTGTGTGTGTGTATGTGTAGTGCGATGAGTATCCCCAGGTCATCCTTTCAAAGTTCATCCCTATAAAAAAAAGAAAACAGAGAAAATAAAGTTATTATGGACATCAAAGACACACAAAACATCACTTATATGTGCAAACAACTCGTGCAGAAATTAGTTTCAGCAATCTTGAAGGTATTAAGGTATAGGCTGTGTTCAAACTGCACACACTTCGTTTTTCAAATCCGATCATTAGGACTGATAGTCTGCACTTTGCCTCTGATGACATCATCATGGTGCAGACATGACATCACTTAGTAGGCCGAAACGCTGAAGCGAGTTGCATTTTAGCATCGTCCCGAAGTCAGTGGGGTTTTTTTTTTAATGGGTTTTGTTTAAATGGCTGAAATAAGGTCTGTGGTGAACACAAGCTCAAGACACTTTCACGTTTTATTCTACGACATTAAATACATCAGTATTACCCCACTCGTGATTTTTTGAAGCTGTTGCGTGTCGTGAACAAGGCGGTTGCTAACAAGTGTCTAAATGCGACTACAGAGTCTGTCGAGGAGATTAAACATCACCACACTGAACCGGTAAACTCAGTCCGTCTTTACAGCCTCGGTATGCTCTTACAAACTATTCCAGCTCCAACCTTCTGGGAACATGCTTTTACATGAAGACTGAAAGAGTTGACGTTGAATCGTGGGACCGTGGTGTAGTTTCTAGCCTAACTTTAGCTTTTTACTTCTGGCGACTGCATTTAGGCTTCAAAACTCATAAAAGTTGTGTTCATCCATGATAATTATCTTGATGGACAAAACGAGCAAGTACAATAAACTTCTGTTGATCACAGAGCTTGTTTTTAGCGATAATCCAAAAGCCTATGGGAAAATCCTATTAGATTTTTTCTCGAGGGAACCAGGGCCAGATGAGGACTGCCGATTGGCCTACAAAGTGACGTCACACCTGCATCACTATAGGATTCAGACAGAGCACTTGTACATATCTGGTGTATCTATATTGGTCGCGATGATAATGATGTAGGCGTTAACACGAGGCCTGAAATGGTCAGTTCGGAGGCATTTTTCCACTGCATTAGCATCATGTAACAAAGGATGCATCATTTTACACATTCACTTCTACTGTACATAAGACAGGACACACGTCACAATGGCATGTGTCTAACAGAGTGGACATTTGAAGGCTAAATTAGCTATTGTGCTAGGGTCAATAACTAACCTCTCAAATTGAAACAACACTAAAATCAATTGAGTTCAGGGATGACTTTCGAGGTATTGAGTTTTAATTGATGTCATGGTTGGGTTAAAGTGTTAAAGCTGCCAATACTATATTTAATGAAAGATCTCACAGGGTTTTTTGCGGTTCAGACTACGAAAACCTGAGTCTGATCTGCTTTAAAAACATCGGATTTGAGCCACCAGAGTGAACAAAGCCACAATGCCAAGCCTAAACCGGTTCTGATGTGTTCATGCTTTCACTTCTCATCATTCAGAAAGCATTTTTTAGGGGAAAAAACCTAAAACAAGCTCATTCCAGCAGTAATTAAAAACATTATAGTATGTTTTTTGGTCAAATCAGCCTGGAGGGTTAAAGTAAAAAAAAAGAAAGAAAACTGTGCATCTGTTGATCATGGTATGGAGCAGCGAAACAGATGTGAAGCGGCAAACGCTCTGTCTGCTGCCCCGGCCCACACGCTTCACCTGTGCCCTAGAGGAGAGGGGGACAGAGGACAGAAGTCACTTCCACCTTGACCACTGCTTGTCTTTGTCTGTTAAAGGCACGTAGATCACGCCCATCAGTGGCTTCATTTTGGTGCTGCCATCCTCCAGCTTGTCGTACTGCTCCAGCATCTGGTTCCCCCCCGCGGGGCCGACGGGCAGGATCAGACGCCCGCCTGGCTTCAGCTGGTCCAACAACTGCAACACACACACACACACACGCGTAAATCTCACCAACACGTCACACTTCACCCTAAAATCATAAGAAATATACGCATGACTCTGACGGAAAACTAATGAGAATCACTACTGAGTATTATCAAAGTCCTTTTCATACAAGTAATTCGACCCGGCGGCCATCTTTGAAACGCCTCTCGCGCAGCTATTTCAGTCATGCAAGTGCAGCTCTTGAAGCTCTTCGAATGGGGAAACGACAGATTCTCCAAAACTGTTCACCAAGCTGATGATTAAATTTCATATTTGAAATCAAGATTATTTAAAATCAAGCAGTGATGCGTTGACTTATTCCGCCATGTCGCGCATTGCACTTTCTCTCATTTATAGTAATAAGAGTGGCCCGTCTTTCTATATTTTAAGTGTTTAGTATAATTGCCGTGTCCAAATACCCACACTTGCAGTGTTGGCCACTTGAGAGCACGTGCACGCGACAGGAAGTGCGCGAGACTAAGCGTATCCCATCATGCATTATGTTCGGGAACTCGCTTGGCCCGAAATCGCGTGATGTCGAGGAGGAAGTGGTAGTAAACCCAAGTGTTGCACATTTTATTGGAGCAAAGATGAGCAGGCTATCGGTGTGTGTTTTGTACAACATTTGCAACTGCTTTTTTATCACTTAATTAGCGGCGCCACAATTTTAACATTTTATCTTCTCTTAGCTACATAGCGACTACTGAACAGACATTTAGAAGTTTATTTTAAAATGCAAAATATTGAAAATAAAATAAAGCTCTGTAAACACTTGCATTTTCTGCAAGACTAAGTGTGTACCATTGTGTGATCAAAAGTCTGTTCTACACACACTTGCAGTCTTTACGCCTACTTGAACACTTGGGCCGAATACAGGAAATATGTAATGTAAGTACTCAAATGGTCAAGTGCAAAAGGCCGCAAGCGTGGGTATTTGGACAGGGCACTTGTGTGACTCCTGTAATGACGCTCATCATTGATCATCAGCCAGAGCAAGTGCTGATCGCCCACACCTGTGCTTCATTAAGCAGAGCATAAGAAAGAAAGGGTGAGCTAGTTCTCCACTGCAGCAAATGCTAATAGTGTGTTCTCTGTCTCTGCTTCTCCAGATTCAAGTGAGGATTGACCAATCAGCTCCTTTTCCTGCACATCACTTCATCAACCCGTGAGCACAGAACTTCATTCTTTTATGTTCAATAAACACTAGAGGATGGATACCCGAACCGAGCCCGACAGGACCCGACGGGCCGGGCCGGGTTCGGACACATATTTTGAAATGACGTTCGGGTTCGGTCACGTCGGCGCAATAAGGCATTGAACATTTGAAATTTAAAACAGCTTATTAGAATGTTTAACAGGATGCAAATGTTTGTTTTTGTGATTAAAATAAATTTAAAATATCACCCTAACATCCATCTTCATGTGTGCGGAAATTTGTTAATGTTGCTGTGACAAACGCGCAACACGTGCGTGCATAATATTGCATATTTGGCTACACGCTGGAAGACGTTAAAAAAAGAAGTTGGCCTCAGTTGGATTTTAAAACTAGCCTAAACATTGAAGGAGGGATTATGTGAATAGATCCCATGTTACAGTTTTATTAGCCACACAGTTTGAGAGGAAAAATGGTAAGAGTGATTTTCATTTCAATAAGCTGCATTTGTGTTATGTTAATGTTTTGTTCTGTTAACTTGGGCAATTTTTGGTAGACCTAGCTTTGTTCATTTAATTTCAATTGGCTATTTGTTTGGGCCTCTTGTGCGCGCACATCTGTAAACATTTCCGAATGCCTTCCAGTTGCTAAATAAAAGCGGGCTTTCTACACAAACAAACGTACGTGTCATTAGTATGAGAAAAAAAAAGAGATTTTTAACAGTCGGGCTCGGACATAAATATCTTAATGCCCGTCGGGTTCGGTTACTGCCCTGTCGGACGCGGGCCGGGCTCGGACAGAAAAATGCGGCCCGATCCGCACTCTAATAAACACCCTCCGGAGAACGCGTGCAGCGCAAATCAGTTTGGTTTGTGTCCTCATTCAACCCTCCACAAATGGAATTACGAATGGAATATGGAAAATTTGTGGAAATACGTGCTTAATTGTCATAAAAAAAAAAAAAAAAAAAAAAATTACAAAGCCGAAAATCTTAAAGGTGCTATATGTATTTTTTAGCAGCCTCTATCGGTGATGTTTCAGATTGCAACCAATTTTTACAAGAGCATGGTACATGGTACTCATGGTACCGGCCACACTGAGACTTTCAAAACACCGGAGAAAGCATCACACAACATGCTGGAACCTCATGTAAACTCCCACTGCAACGTTACAATAATAGGCTACTTTTATCAGCTTGACGTTGAACTAATGCTCCATGCTCGTACCATGATAACGTTACATTTTACCATTATTTCAGTATATCTGAAAACTTGTAATTTATCACAAAAATAGCGGAGGTCTCTCCATAGTTCAAACGCTCTGCCGATGTTGATCCGTGTTTTCGTCCTAAGTCGATCCGATTCATGTTTGGCCAGACGAGCTTCAGCAGATACATTATTGTTTTGTTTTGTATATTTATGTGGAGTTTGTGTTGGAGTGTGTGTTGTGCTGGAGGCAGGTCGTTTTGGGTGTTATCAGACTCATGTCGTCAGCTGCAGTGCCGTCGCATAGACTGTATATAAAAAGGAGAGAGGCTCGGGAGCGCGCATGCACGTCACATCCGATGGATTTCGCAGAAAATACGACCCGGAGACTTCACATAGAAATAGGAATACTGGCCTTCAGAGGTAATAGCAAAACCCGACAAGTGGATCATTGTAATGTGTGATTACAACCCCTTCACACACAGGCAATAAAAAAAGGATTCATTTTAGAAGAAAAGTTACATATAGCACCTTTAATGGTCCTAAACAAGGCTTTATTTCCTTGATGCAAAATATAATTTCTTTCTTTTTTTATTTGGGGGTGGAATAACGACATGGATGCGTTTTCTTTAAATTCAACCACACAGAGCAAGACAAAAACCCCCTGACTTCAAACCTTAAAGGGATAGTTCACCCAAAAATGAACACTAATTATTCACCTTGATAATTCTCCAAACCTCTATAACATCCGTTTTTACTAAGGAACACAAACGAAAATATTTTTGGAAGTGGAAGTTTTGTAAATAAAATTGTGTTCCAAAGATGAAAAAAGACATTCAAATCCAGAACATGTCTCAGATGCAGGGCGAATAAATGATGACAGAATTTTAATATCTGGGTGATTAATTCATTTAAAGTTCCTGCTTAAGGTGCAAAGTGTATTAGTGATTTAAAGGACACATACTGCTTGTGGCACTGTGGGGGCTGCGGCTCCGACGTGTATGGCGTCATAAGGTGCTTCTTCTGGAAGGCCCATTCTTCCATCTCCAACTGCACACACACACACACACACACACACACACAGTATTACACAACACCACAGCTGAGCCCATATAACGGTTCTGTTCTGTCCCTATAGTGTACTGCCTCCCTCTGAATATAACACACTGCCAAATGACAAAAATAACTAGTCCCACACTTTTATGGCAATTGCGATGACTATGAGAGAAAATCTAAGGAATGGATTTATGAAAATATTAAATATAAAAAAATAAAATGTTAATAAAAAATTCATTAACTTATTTCCAAGCTGCAATTATTATTTTAATTTTTCAGTAAAAATCCTACTTTTTCAGAACTCCAAATTCAAATTTTATTTTCAGTAAGCAAAAATTACGTTTTTTCAAGTTTTCAATTTCGTACTTAGAGACAAACGTTCGGTCTCATTTTGTCCAAATGGAAATTTGGCATTTTTTTGGTCTTATTTCCAGAATGCATTCATATTTGTGCTTATCAGTGGTTGTTTTCCCCCTGGTCTGCCACTACATGTATTCATTCATGTCTACATACACAAAGCCCTGTGTTTGATCAGTTCAGTACACGACGTGCAGTCGCAGCTGTAGCACTGGTTTCACAGACAAGGATTAAGTCTAGTCTCAGACTAAAATGCATGTTTGAGCTGTTTTAACTGAAATCAACTTGCACTTACAATCTTAAAATATGTCAGTGCCATTGTTTCGTCTCAAGCTGCACACCAGTAATGTTTTTTTTCTAAGGCACGTTTATAAAAGCTACTTAAATGTCCTAATTGAACAAAGGCCTAATCCTGGCTTAATCTAAACCCTGTCTGTGAAACCAGGCCTATAATGTTCTGATGTTTAAACTAGGTTTTACTATTAAATGAACTTAGTTTTGTTTCTGTTTAAATTTATTAACTGTTCATTTTTTAGATGTGCAGAAATATTTAATTTCTGACTGATATTGATTTCTGCATATCTAAAAAATGAACACATTATAAAGAACATGATGTAAAACAGCCAAAAACAATTGTGAGAGACCAAAGATGTGGACAAACCGAGGAGTCTGATTCTCCCTGAAGAGATCAAACTAGGGTCGTCCTTCTTTACATTAGTTTCTGAATCTTCCACCAGCTCCTTTATATGATCAATGCCAATCACCTTCCCCCTCGGCCCGACCTGTAACACACCACAACACATCCGCTGAAATGCACACATACTACGGGTGTACAAACTGCCAGAAGTAAATACATGCAGGCATGAAATACATACACAATATTCATCCATATCTAATAGTAGAATTATGGCATTTATTCAGTTTTAAATGAATTCCTTTCCCACTACAGGAACTTTAAAAGAAAAAAAAAGAAAAAAAATTGGTCTACACAGACATACATGATGAACAAAGCCAAAAAAGAAGAGTCACCAGTGTCCATATGTAAACCTGTTGGAGCTGTTAGTTACTCAGAGGATTGGGCTAATTTTATACCACTAAATATGGAGAGGCATATTTACAAGTGGACAAGCAGCGAGTGCAGGGCAAGCTTTATCAAGCGCTTACTCGATGGAGACAATTCGCCAGGGTGCAACGATTGTGGTTTCAGCAGCACAATGACACGCGCACATCAACTCTCTCCGCTTGAATGTTTAAACTGATAAGACTTAAAAAGAAGTGAAAATGATCAACTTTAGTAATGCTGGTGCAAGTGACAATCCCGTCATGTCCCGACTCCTAAACGCGAGAATGTAGGTTCGACGCTTGCCTTGTCCAACGCATGATGTTGAGAGACGGAGAGAGAGAAGACGCGGCGCCGCTGAACACTCACGCGGTTTGTGAAATTGCGTCTTGGAGAAAGTTTTAAAATGATTGATTTGATAATCTGTGTGGATTAATTTAGGCTACTCATACAATCTACATGCTAAAGTGAATCAATGTTTGCGGGGGAATTTCCCTCGTTATAAGTGCATTATGACCTGCATGAATTATTAAAATACTTAATGAAGTATTATCTGTTATATTATTTATTTTAATAGTTAAAGATTTTGATTTTTTTTAAGAATTGTTTAAATAAATCTTTTTAATAAATGCAACACGTTCCCAAAGTCATGTGAAATAATTGTTAAATAATCGTGATTTCAATACTGACCAAAATAATCGTGATTATGATTTTTTTCCATAATCGAGCAGCCCTAATTTGTAAGTATTTTTATTTATTTGTATGTACTTGTAATAATAAATATAGCAAAATGAAAGTAAAACAGAAAAAAAGGGACTAAAACCAACAAGAATAAATAAAAAAGAGAATGCAATAATATATAATTGTAGGAGTAAATAATTGTATTTTTAAAGAAATCAATAAGAACGTAATTCTCTGAAAACCAAAAAAAAATTAGGTCTCTCCATGTGTTCATTTATTTTTGCAGGTTCGGTCCTCTGTACCATACACACACACACACACACAGTTTAACTGTTCTAATGTAGGAACCTAATTTACATGCTATGATTGTTTGCATTGCACTCCATTACAATTCATGTAACAGAAAGGTGAAAATCCTAAGCAATCCCATGTGTGCGATAGGAAGTGAAGTGACTCACCATTCTGGCGAAGCAGACGGACAGGATTCCCGAGCCGGATCCCACATCCAGAGCCTTCGCTCCCTCATACAGGTGATCGTGGAGCAGCTCTAGAGCGTATGCGTGCTGCAGCACACAGATGAGCGTTCATCAGCGCCTCAAACAGGACAACGCCGGCTATTACAGATCATGATAACCCACAGAAGCGGTTTAACTTACCATATGTGGTGCACTGATTGTTGCTTGGTAACCTGTACGAAATTACAAAACAGACCTTCATGCCAAAAAGAAAACACATCAGCAGAATCACCAGACTAACACTGTTCACACACACACACACCAGACCTCTGAGAACTTACTCAAACCAGCTTATTGAATCGTCAATAACCCGAGAACCACGTCGTTTACAAGACTTTATGAATATAAATCAGGTTATTTCCCCGTGGTGACGTCAAAACGTAATAATCTGTGTATCTGTCTCTGATTATTTCATTTGTTATGGCGGTTGTGATGTTAAATAAAGCATTAAAAACTGAAGAAGAGTATTGCAACATGTCAGCGGGAAACCTATGGCTATTATCCTCTCATGCAGTTACAAATGCAGCATTTCGCTTCTGCTTCAAGAGAAGAGTATGCGATACATCTCCTCCTCCCTTACTGCAAAACTCTCGCTCTGTCTGGATGCGCTGTAAGGTGCAGTTATTCTCAACGTCATGGATGAACATCAACCCAAACAAACATTCATTGATCCAGGGTTTCTGCAAGGTTTAGTCAGTCAAATTTAAGACTTTTTAAGACCTTTTTATGACCATTATGATTTAAATTTATGACCTACACGAATTACGAAAAATAACTTAAAATAAAGAAAGTCTTTTTTTTTATTGACTTTCATTTAAATTAATAAGTTTCATTATTTAAAGGTTCCATTTTCTTAAGAGTAACAAACTGAAGGCTCCCTTTTCCTAAGTATCAATAACACAGGAACAACACTTAACAATTATCACAATAATATACCAGTCGATATCGATAATTATCACGATAAATGTCAAATCTTTATTTCTTTCAAGTTTAAAGGCAGATTTTTGCTCCTAAGTGAAAGTTGTAGAAACCAGAGCGTTAATTGTGGTTTTAAACTACTCTTTATTGTCAGAAGATAGCATGATAATCACTAACCAAACAGGTGAACATTTCACAAATATGAGGTAGAACATTCAAACATTTGTCATTTATCCTTAACAAAATTAATATCTTTATTGGAAAATGAATTTCTTGGTTTCTGCATGTGCTAATGGGGGATATTGTTTCAAGTCTTGAAACAGGTTTGTGTTGCCTGACTTTGACGGCACATATCTTCATGAAATGTATGAAAAACAGTAGCCTAAATACTGTATTTATATCCATTAGTCCTTTAATACATATACCGGTATCCCACATTTCATGGTGCAGTTAATATACTAGGCTAACGTTGCAGTAAATCCATGGTAAATGATGGTAATTTGTAGACGGAAAAGCTTTCTGACTGTATCGTTGCGCACAGTGTTTCTCCTGTTTGTCAGCACTGTTTCATCTGCCTTTAAACTGGTTTAAATCACTCAGACATGTGTGTTCTTCGCTGAACTCAAGCGCTTCTCACTGGATCTCGTGAGCGAGGCCGATCAGAGTAAACGCGTCTGCTCTAGTGAGCTTGATCGCGCTGCGCTGCCGTTTGGACTTTGAGCCGAGCGGATAAACGGTCCGTGAGGCGCGCGCGGTTCAAATGACTTTCGTTCCGCTTTTGCCGCATAAACATTATCGAACATTTATCGAACTCTTGATATCGTTTTATAAAGAAAAAATTATATCGCGATAATGAATGAATGAGCATATCAATTTAAGTGGCTAAATGTAATTTATGACCTTGTATGGAAAATCCGGACGTTTTTATGACTTTTTATTGTCCTAAAATTCGTATTATTAAATTTAAGACGTTTTATGACTTTTTATGACTCCGCGGAAACCCTGTTGATCATTCATCATCTTCACGAAAAATAAAGCGAAGATGATGAACAAACGAGAAAGAAGCTCAAAAAATGAACATGCATAGACGAATAAATGCAAACAAGAGTTGGTTGTTAGTGTCCAACAGCTCCAGACACACATGACCCTCAAACTAGAGGGCTGCATTGGGATTGGGTCCCGCCGGGTCCCGCGGGACCCAACGCAAATCTCGCGGGAGCGGGCGGTTTGAACTTTGCTGCGGGCGGGAATGGGCGGACAAATAAAACCCCTGCGGGATTGGGAGGTAGCCTAACGACATGATGGAGATGTCAATGATGTGGAAAAGAACCTTAAACGAGGTATTTACAGCACAAAACCTGAGCAAGGCAAGTCTGACATTTACTATTAATCTTCCTGATCAGTGCGTCAGAATACATGCAGGCCAGGGAAACGAAACCAACAACCCCATGAATCTCTTTAACAATAGCAATACAAATACGCGTTTTTTTCCTGCGGGACGGGAGAAGACACAAAGTCAGTGCATCTCTATTATTGTGCGGGAATAAATTCTCCGAGTTTTGCGGGTGCGGGCGGGAGTGGACATACATATTGCGGGAGCGGGCGGGAGTGTAACACATACGTTGCGGGAGCGGGCGGTAATGGTCAAAAATTCGGCGGGCGCGGGCGGGAGCGGGATGAAGAAAACAGTCCCGCGCAGGACTCTACCTCAAACCCAGTGTTACTCACATGTGGACCCGAATCAACGCAACATCTGCGCCTGTTTTCAGGCCTTGCTGCTTCTCTCTCTCCAGCGCTGGAAAGCTTTGCTAACATTAACACGGGTCCTAAAGCTCTTGCCCAGACATAACCCTTCATTTCCAGTGATTTCTTCTGAGCTTTTCTCTTTTGTAATGTCTCTCGGCCATCTCTCTTTCTACAGTCTCTCTTCAAATCTCCCTCTTGCTCGTTCTCTCTCCTCCACAATCATCATACGCCCCCTAATGCTGATTGGCTACATGTTTGTTGTTGTGTCGGTCCGACCAAATTTCAAACATTGCTTACCACACCTTTAAATCCACAGTAAGGATGCGTTCCTGTCACATATAACACACGCGCACTTCAATAAGCTGACAGAAAGCAGGTTAATGCGTTTACATGCGGGGCGGAATCGAAGTAAGGGCCAAAAATCCAGCTGTGGCGATCAGTCTATGCGTTCATGACCTTCCTCTGGTGGAGGAAAACGGGTTAACGCGTTTCCATGATCACGTGCACTGTGGGCTTATTAAGCATAACCGGGTTAGCCGTGCACGTAAACTCACTCTACCATTGAAGGGACAGACGCCACATTGCTTTATAACAGCTTGAAGACGTCAACACTGCACGCATCACCTCGACACACAATCATCTTTATTAAAGGGGACCTATTATACCCTTTCACCAAGACTTGACTCTGTTTTTGGGGTGTACTAGAATATGTTTTCATGCTTGATTGTTCAAAAAAATGCATTATTTTTCACATATTTTACGTTATAACAGTTCCTCTCTCCCCAGTCTGTTTTTCAATGAAGAAACATACGAAATGTGCTGTGACACACTGTGGTCATACTTAGTAACCGTGATGACATCATCCATAGCAACGAGATCAGCCCCGCCCTTTCTCTTATAGCTTAAGACTTCTCTCTATTCCACAGTAAAGTTGGTCTCAGCTTTGTGAATGGGTTTAAAGGAGAACTCCGGCGCAAAATGAACCTTTGGTCTAATAAAACATTGGTACCTAGTCAACCGTTCTCTGAGATTTGTTTTCATGATAATCGAATGTAAAGAGTTTTATCTCTAAAAACTGTTTAGCGTATAACGCTAGTAATGGGGGCATCTATTAAGTAAAAATAAATCGCTAGTTTATACCACTAACAAGACTCAAAATAGCCCCACACGAACACAGTAACATAATGAGGGTCCCTACATGCAAAACGAAGCATTGAGAACTTTGTAAGTGTACAGACCGTTTAATAAGAAGATAAAGATAAAGACAGTCCACTTCGTGTATACAGGCAGGAGCCATCTTTGGAAAACAGTCTCAACTAGTCAAACCACGAACGCCATTCATACAGTTCAGAACATAGACATAATAAATACATAGACGCCCTATTGGCCGCTTTGGAACGTTGCTGCGATACGTCAACGGGTCCGCCATTTTGCGGAGGGCAAGACTGCACTGTAATCAAATGTAAGTAAACGGGGGAGCTGCGTTTTTTCTGGATAAAAACAAACTGTTTTTACATTTATCAACCGATTTCAGTGTTTGTATGTGGTGTACAAAAAGTTCCATCTCTAGTTATTTAAAATCTCGATAGTTAGACTTGTAAAATAATTTTTTTAATAAAGAATGGTCAATTAAGCTCAGGCTTGTCATGTATCTGGCTTTTTATTCTTGGATAAGAATGGTGAAGACCCCCATACTGAGATATAATTTAAGTTTTCTTATTGTGGAAAAATCATTTTCTGCGATTGACCAGATTTTAGCAATAACAAAGATAACTGATGGATCCTTTATAATAATACAAATGTTACGGTACAACTAGTGCAATGCAAATAGTAAATATAACATAAAGTGAGAAGTAATAGTAAATAGTTTAGTCAATAAAATAAACAAATAGTATACAGCAAATAAAATAGTAATGAATAGTATAATTATATAATATCATAAGTACAATAATACAATCATAAAAATATTGATAATAGCATAGTTTATTAATAATACTATAATAATAGCAATAGAATAAGAAATATCAATTACAGAATATACACAATAAAAAATAAGTTAAATAGTGACTTTAATATTTAACTCTTTTTGTTAAATTTCAGTTTTATTGATCAGTATAACAGAAGTAGCTTCAGTCAAACAAACAGCTGCAGGATACAACGTTAAAATAGCCTAAATATAAAGTTATGAAACTTCACTTTGCCCTCAGCCAAAACGATTTACCAGGGAACCATTTATAGATTAATGAGACCAAAGATCGCCTGTTAGATATACACAAGACGAATTATATCTCATGTTTAACCACTAGACTACAGACATCCGAGTCAGCGTCAACACTTCAGAAGCACTGGCCGAGGTCCGGCTGTTCCAGGCGGGGTAGACGAGCGCTGAGCGCATCTTACAACTCCGAAAACGTCAGATCAAATTTTTAAATAGGCGCTCTCTTTATAAACAAACCACATATTTGAGCTTTAAACAACTACATTGTCGACTGAAAAACTATTAAAACTACATTTCGTGACACAATAACAGTAGTATTTTTAAATTTATCCTCTGAACGTTACTATTACTAATTAAATCATGACCAAATACAACCAAAAACAAACGTTCAGTCTTGCTTGTGAAAGGGAATTCCTCAAAAAGCTGTTTTCAATTGTGTGGCGATGTGTACAGCCCCAAACAGCGCACAAAACAGGCATTTTTCTCAATTCCCGGTATAAGAGGTATAGGAAAGTTGCCATCCTCAACATGGCGGCGCCGTTGACGTACGCTCCAGCGGCCAATAGGGCGTCTATGTATGTATTTATTATGTCTATGGTTCAGAAGTTCACTGAACTTCATACAGTTCAGCTCATTAGCACGTCGTTCGTGGTTTGATTAGTCGAGACTGTTTTCCAAAGATGGCTCCTGCCTGTATACACGAAGTGGACTGTCTTTATCTTTATCTTCTTATTAAACGGTCTGTACACTTACAAAGTTCTCAATGCTTCGTTTTGCATGTAGGGACCCTCATTATGTTACTGTGTTCGTGTGGGGCTATTTTGAGCCTTGTTAGTGGTATAAACTAGCGATTTCTTTTTACTTATTAAATGCCCCCATTACTAGCGTTATACGCTAAACCGTTTTTAGAGATTAAACTCTTTACATTCGATTATCATGAAAACAAATCTCAGAGAACGGTTGACTAGGTACCAATGTTTTATTAGACCAAAGGTTCATTTTGCGCCGGAGTTCTCCTTTAAGAGAAAACTTTCACCTAAGAACATTAACTGCTATTTAGGAGAACTCTAGATAAAATGCTTTGAGAATACTAGCAGCAAAAACAGAAACCGGGAGTTTCATCAATGGAAAATGAGTCTGAATGCACTTTGGCCACACTGGGCGCTGGAAGTGTAGACTATAACGAGAGCAACACAGCTGTAGATGACATTGTGTTGACAAAATGATAACTCAGGGCGCTTTCACACTTGGTTCGATTGCCTGTTCCGAACCCGAGTTCGATTGCTCCCCCCTGCCCCCGATGGACTGTGTTCACAAATATTATTTGTATCCGAACCGCGGTACGCTTGCGTCATCAAGCTGCAGCTGGCGCGTAATCAAGTTGCTTGGTAACCGGCGGCGCCGTTATGAATGAAAAGGCGTCAAAATGGATAGAATTGATCGCTTCACATTTGTTCTTTAACCTTTGGTTTTGTTTTCAAAGAAAAGATACAGAAACACACTTGGGTATGTCTGCCGCAAAAGTACTAAAATCGTTCCAAAGACAGCTGTCAGCCGAAGACAATTTTTGCGAAGGCAAGCATAAATCATCTCTCTGCTTGCAGTGCGTCAATCCCGCTTTTCGTCAAGGTAAGTGTACACACACACACACACACACACACACACACACACACACACACACTGACGACTGTCCTGTCGACCACATTATACATTATACGTCATCAATAGCGGTTCACTTCCGCGGTTTGGTTCGATTGCGTTCATATCAGCAGCGAACCGTACTGGAGTTCACATGAACCGTACCCCAGACCACCTTTTTAAGCGGACCCGAGTACGGTTCGCGGGTACGCACTCGAGTTCGGAAGACAGCGTTCACATCATCCAAACGAACCGAACTCCGACGTCATTCGAACCCGGGTGCGCACCAAAAGTGCTAGTGTGAAAGCCCCCTCAGTCTGGACTGGAACTTACCTATAGATTGTGGCGAGTCCATATATGGATTGCATTTGGAGAAATGAGCACGATCTGTGGCCAACATGACTTCATATACACGGTCCGATTTAATGATCCCATTCTCTGGACAGAAAACACACACATTCATATAGGTTTATCCTCGTTTCATATGCATAATGGTGTATGTATAATGTACAAGCTTTTTCAAGTTCGCTTCCAAGAGATTTCCAATGGGACTCATATGCAGCTTCACAGCACTTGGTGATTGTGTGAACAACATTCTTCAAAATATCATTCATTCAGTCAATTCAATGTCATTCAGTCAATCGTTCATTCATTCGCGGTATCGGAAATACCAGAGCAACAAAACCGTGCGGCACGCCAGCAATCCTACGCTGGCATTCAAAACTTGCATACTATTTATAACAGTCTGTGCCTATCTGAATATAGTAAATACTACACATTTACACTCGCAGACGGAAGGTCTGAGACCTTAATATACATTTATTTAAGTTAAATTTAATTATATATTTAAGGCTTAAGGGGAAATAGAATTGTTCTTTATACTGTTCTTAGTACCGTTCGTACTTGATTACCTTTTTAATCCAAAGTGACCTTAATAAATTACACAAACTGCACGGTGCAACCAAGAATTAAACATGTTCCGGCACATAATGGTGAGAGAAACAATCGACTTCCACCGGTAGGACAAGTTACACGTTTAGCTCTTAGGACTAGGAGTTTGTTCAAATCGCAAACCCTAAGTATCAGCGACAGTAACAGTGATACTTGAATTAGCAAGCAGGACTAAATATAGCAGACTGGCCACTTGACCTCAGAGTAAAGCCAAGAGTTCAGGAGGACGGGCTACATGCCATATGAGTATTATTAGTCTCTCTGGCCAATGGTCAACTGTTAGATTAGTTAAAAATACTAATTATATGAATGTATTAGAGATGCATTCACAGCGATTGAGCCAAAAGAATACATTTATAAAACAAAATCATATTTTTGGTTTCATGAGAGAGAACTAAACATTACATAAGAAATGTTGTGTGGCTAATAAACGCAGCATTAACGTTATATATATTTATATATAACGTTATATATATTTTTTCGCAGCATTAATATTAAAGTACTAAGCTGTGTGACGTCATCATACAGTGACACGTGGTGTGCCACGCCCACTGAACAACTCCTCTAATAAAAACAGCACATGCGAGCATTAAACGACGAAACATTTGTACAATAACCGTGTCTTGCCTTCTCATTGTATATAAACTAAATATGCCTGCAGGAACGAGTAAATTATAGATTCAAGAGATAAACGCCAAAGGTGCGAAGTACTATGTGACCAATGTGTAGAAAACCCACAAGATATCTTTGTTGAAAATATGAACAGAAATGAGGCATAACACATATACCACAGCCATTATATAAACAGAGCAGACGATTCGCATGTGGTTTGATGAGTGACGAACACACATTAGACAGCTAACAGCTAGCTAACAAAATGAAGAGCACTGAAGCACAGCGTAAGTTTTAAACAGCAGTCGTGTGCTTGTCTGACATAACGACACACACACACACACACACACGCACGAACGAACAACGGTGAGATGCAGTCACCCCATGCCATCCTCACACGTAACGTTACAGCGCACTTTCCCCTCAGATGCAACGCGATGCTAGTTCACACGGAAACGCACTTTCCCTCACCGCACTGAAGTAAACAAACCCCCGTTACTAAGCGAAACAAATGACTGCGTTTGCTCTTTTGATCACGCAAGACGGGCTAGACTTACTGCGGAGGTTGTTGACGAGCTCCGCATGGCTCGCTCCTCCGGATTTCCACGCCATTACTGAACACACTCTGCGGATCAGGTAGAGTGCGGCTGTCAGCGCCGCGCCTGCGCACAACGCCCTTCCCACGACCGTTACCGCTTCCAGAACCGATACGTCACCAGACATGTCCCGTTACTCCCGTAACGCTCTTAACGGCTCCCCGCTGCGTCATTCATTCCGCACAGTCTGTTTTCAGCCGTATTATGACATTATGAGCACATTTGTGTGCATTTTCGGGCTTGGCAACTCTAGATAGGGGCAGATTCGCTGTGCTCTGCGCTGCCAGCAGGAGGAAAGCACGAGCGCATTATCAGGGTGACGTAAGGCATTATGATTTGTAGAGTTGTGACGTTCGCGAACGAACCGATTCTTTTGAACGGCTCATAAACATGAACGATGGGAGCCGAGTCGCGGCTGAAGGGGAGCCGTTCTTTCTGTCGTTCTTTTTTTATGCGTGTTTCACACAGATGCACACAAATTAGCTCCTCAGTTATAGGGGAAGGGGCGCACCCAGCGCAGGGGTGCTACTGCCTAACAGCATGATGATAGTTGTGCACGCGCGCGCATCCTTTACGTGAGTACTCCAGTGGGAAAAAACCCTACGTGCTGTCATTGGGTAGGAGCAGAGCCAATGACTCATGCCGTCACATGGTTACTCCAGTTAAAAAAAAAAAAAAAAAAAAACCCCACTAAAGTAACACTAAGTTCCTTTGTAAATAAATACAAAGGAACTGCTTTGTATTTATTTACATTGCATTTTGTGTTCATGTTATTGTATCTACAGTATATATTTACAACTTTAAATAGTTTTTGTTTTTTATCAAAATGTTCTTGTGGTATTGTATGAATAACATAAGTCAACATAGCTTTACACATACACATACTTTGTACTAAAGGTAAATCCAAAATAGTGATATCACTTTCTAAGCAGAGGGATGTTGTGCAACCCTATGGAATATAGTCCACACATGACAAATGAGGTAATAATCAATATTTCAGAATAATTCAAACTCAGATATTGGTGTGTGATATCTGAGTTTTAATTAATTGACTACAAATCTCACCTCATCATTCCTCCCAGTGATTATTTCCAGGATAAACTGAGATTCCCCCAAGCTGGCTTCTTTAAACTGACTAAATATTTAAAAAGAGCCAAAAGAGCCGTTCTTTTGAACGGCTCTTTGAAAGGAACGGATCGCAAAGATCCGGATCTCCTCAAAGAGCCATAAATCCCATCTCTAATGATTTGGCACTTTTTCTCAATGCAAAACGAAATACATTTCTAAACCTAATAGTGGAATGATGTAAATGAGATGTATTGGGCATAAGGGAATAATAAGGCAGGCAGAGTGTCTTCTTTCTTCTCAGATTTTAAAATTTATCAGTAAATAATGCAGAATTTCTGCGTATACGTCACTGTCTACAAGACAAAAAAAGTTTCAAATGGACCTTTTTCATAGAGTGTGAAAACATGTTTTAATGGTCATCATCAGCATTGTAAATCCTGCGACGTTTTAAAAAATATATATTTTTAAATGTTTTTAACACTATACTTTGCATAATATTCCATCATTCATCATCTGACTGCTGTTATCAATCTCTCTATATTTTTTTAAACTCTTGTTGAAAGTTGAATATATATATATATATATATATATATATATATATATATATTTAATGTTTTCTCTCATTCATCGGTGTAAAAGTTTACCCAACAATGACGACTTCCGCTTCCGAGGAAATGTGAAAATGTTCTATTTTATTTATCTTCGCTTCATGAAGCTTTACTTAAATGTTCTAGTAATAATAATACCGGTAATAATAATAATAATAAGTAAAAAATATTACATTAATTAACGTGCCGTGAAAATCTAAAACTACTAGGGGAAATTATATTTTCTCTTTTTAAATTCTCTTTTATAATAATAATACAAATATTTTCATTTTTAATCAGCATACCGTAATATAAGTTTTTATCAAACCGAATCGCGTTTGGCCCTCTGAGGCCGCCATACTAGGCGAACGCAGGCGGAGGTGGCGGGATACATTCTGCTGTATGTGAAGCACGCTAAACTGATCAACAACACAACACGACACCAGTGAGACCCAATGGACTCCATCAACGCCAAATACATCTCCCAGAAGATCAGCAAGACGCGCTGGCGGCCCGTGTCTGCGGCCTCGCTGCAGCAGCCGGAGCTTTTCGCCACGGGATCCTGGGACAACGAGGCTAGTTCAGATGAGTTTCACTAACGTTACATATCTCACACACTGATGTTTCGGTATTAATCGGCGTTCGTTGTGTGTGTGTTCAGAATAACAAAGTGTCGATCTGGTCGGTGGGCGATCATGGAGTGTCAAACATGGATGGAGAGTTTGATGAAGAGCCTCAGTTACTGTGTGACTTCCAGCATGACGGAGACGTGCTGGACCTGCAGGTGAGGGTCCACACACACACACACACACACACCCACACCCACACCTGCCTACTGTAATAGTGTGTAGTGTTCTGTGAGTAGAGGAGATTGGGGGCAGCTGTAACGTTACCCATCACTACTTTTTTTCTTTTTTTGTTGAAAATATTAACATTGAGAGAGATTTTAATGCAAGTAGTCACTGGAAATACTACTAGTTCTACTAGTTCTAAATATTCTACTAGTTCTTTTAGCCACGTATGTGCATCACTTTTTATTATCTTGTGTAAATCTAAACTTAAAATATAGGCCAAATCCTCCAAAGAGTCCTGCACTGGTCCTGTCGCGCACACCCGCAGTTTGTAAAGGGATAGTTCACTCAAACATGTAAATTGTGTCGTCATTTACTCTCCCTCATGTCGTTCCAAACCTGTTTAAGTTTCTTTTCTTCTGCTGAACTCAAAAAAGGATATTTTGAAGAATGTCGGTAACCAGACAGTTGTGGGGTACCACTGACTTCCAGTGTAGCCTATTTGTTTTTTCCTGCAATGGAAGTCAATGGAGCCCCACAACTGTCTGGTTAATGACATTATTAAGTTGGCTTGTGAAAGCCAACTTACTGAAATCCTATTTAAACTTATTATTAAGTTGGCTTGTGAAAGCCAACTTACTGAAATCCTATTTAAACTTATTATTATTAAGTTGGCTTGTGAAAGCCAACTTACTGAAATCCTATTTAAACTTATTATTCTTCTTCTTCTTCTTCTTCTTCTTATTTTTCTTACCCAAAAAATTCTGACTGCTACTCCTCCTAGAGTTTTAACTCTACAAACTCCAAACTCGGGTCAGACCTTCAGACTGTTCTGACTCGAGTTGCTATATCTTTTCAGACTGATTTGACTTTCAGATTTCTTAAAAATTAATATTAAAAATCATAAAAATCCCATTGACTTTCATTGCAACAGTTCAAATTGAGCCAAGACTACGGTGGCCCGGTAGTGTACAACACAAAAACTCAAATCTAAACTCCCTGAAGCCCTAGACTCAATTAAACTACCATTCTATATGTACTAATGAACTTATCTATCTATCTATCTATCTATCTATCTATCTATCTATCTATCTATCTATCTATCTATCTATCTATCTATCTATCTATCTATCTATCTCTCTTTTTAACTAATCTTTCATTCTTTCTAACTAATCTTTCATTCTTTCTAACTAATCTTTCTTTCTTTCTAACTAATCTTTCTTTCTTCTAACTAATCTTTCATTCTTTCTAACTAATCTTTCTTTCTTTCTAACTAATCTTTCTTTCTTCTAACTAATCTTTCTTTCTTTCTAACTAATCTATCTTTCTTTCTAACTAACCTTTCTTTCTTTCTAAGTAATCTATCTTTCTTTCTAACTAATCTATCTTTCTTTCTAACTAATCTTTCTTTCTTCTAACTAATCTTTCTTTCTTTCTAACTAATCTATCTTTCTTTCTTTCTAACTAATCTATCTTTTTTCTTTCTGACTAACTTATTTATCTTTCTTTCTAACTAATCTATCTTTCTTTCTTTCTAACTAATCTATCTTTTTTCTTTCTGACTAACTTATCTATCTTTCTTTCTAACTAATCTATCTTTCTTTCTTTCTAACTAATCTATCTTTCTTTCTTTCTCACTAATCTATCTTTCTTTCATTCTAACAAATCTATCTATCTTTCTTTCTAACTAATCTTTCTTTCTTTCTAACCAAGCTATCTATCTTTCTTTCTAACTAATATTTCTTTCTAACTAATCTATCTTTCTTTCTAACTAATCTATCTTCTTTCTTTCTAAATAATCTATCTATCTTTTATCTTTCTAACTAATCTATCTTTCTTTCTAACTAATCTATGTTTTTTTCTTTCTAACTAATCTTTCTTTCTAACTAATCTATCTTTCTTTCTAACTAATCTATCCATCTTTCTTTCTAACTAATCTATCGTTCTTTCTTTCTATCTAATCTATCTATCTTTCTTTCTAACTAATCTTTCTTTCTTTCTAACTAATCTATCTTTCTTTCTAACTAATCTATCTTTCTTTCTTTCTCACTAATCTATCTTTCTTTCATTCTAACAAATCTATCTATCTTTCTTTCTAACTAATCTTTCTTTCTTTCTAACCAAGCTATCTATCTTTCTTTCTAACTAATATTTCTTTCTAACTAATCTATCTTTCTTTCTAACTAATCTATCTTCTTTCTTTCTAAATAATCTATCTATCTTTTATCTTTCTAACTAATCTATCTTTCTTTCTAACTAATCTATGTTTTTTTCTTTCTAACTAATCTTTCTTTCTAACTAATCTATCTTTCTTTCTAACTAATCTATCCATCTTTCTTTCTAACTAATCTATTGTTCTTTCTTTCTATCTAATCTATCTATCTTTCTTTCTAACTAATCTTTCTTTCTTTCTAACTAATCTATCTTTCTTTCTAACTAATCTATCTTTCTTTCTCACTAATCTATCTTTCTTTCATTCTAACAAATCTATCTATCTTTCTTTCTAACTAATCTATCTTTCTTTTTTCTAACTAATCTTTCTTTCTTTCTAACTAATCTATCTTTCTTTCTAACTAATCTATCTTTCTTTCTCACTAATCTATCTTTCTTTCATTCTAACAAATCTATCTATCTTTCTTTCTAACTAATCTATCTTTCTTTTTTCTAACTAATCTTTCTTTCTTTCTAACCAATCTATCTATCTTTCTTTCTAACTAATATTTCTTTCTAACTAATCTATCTTTCTTTCTAACTAATCTATCTTTCTTTCTTTCTAACTAATCTTTCTTTCTTTCTAACTAATCTATCTTCTTTCTTTCTTTCTTTCTTTCTTTCTTTCTTTCTTTCTTTCTTTCTTTCTTTCTTTCTTTCTTTCTTTCTAACTAATCTTTCTTCTTTCTTTCTTTCTTTCTTTCTTTCTAACTAATCTTTCTTCTTTCTTACTTTCTAACTAATCTTTCTTCTTTCTTTCTTTCTTTCTTTCTTTCTTTCTTTCTTTCTTTCTTTCTTTCTTTCTTTCTTTCTTTCTTTCTAACTAATCTTTCTTCTTTCTTTCTTTCTTTCTTTCTTTCTTTCTTTCTTTCTTTCTTTCTTTCTTTCTTTCTTTCTTTCTTTCTTTCTTTCTAACTAATCTTTCTTCTTTCTTTCTTTCTAACTAATCTTTCTTCTTTCTTTCTTTCTAACTAATCTTTCTTCTTTCTTTCTTTCTCTCTTTCTAACTAATCTTTCTTCCTTTTTTTAGCTAATCTTTCTTTCTTTATTTCTTTCTTTCTTTCTTTCTTTCTTTCTTTCTTTCTTTCTTTCTTTCTAACTAATATTTCTTCTTTTTTTCTTTTCTTTCTTTCTTTCTTTCTTTCTTTCTTTCTTTCTTTCTTTCTTTCTTTCTTTCTTTCTTTCTTTCTTTCTTTCTTTCTTTCTTTCTTTCTTTCTAACTAATCTTTCTTCTTTCTTTCTTTCTTTCTTTCTTTCTTTCTTTCTTTCTTTCTTTCTTTCTTTCTTTCTTTCTTTCTTTCTTCCTAACTAATCTTTCTTTCTTTCTTTCTAACTAATCTTTCTTTCTTTCTTTCTAACTAATATTTCTTCTTTCTTTCTTTCTAACTAATATTTCTTCTTTCTTTCTTTCTTTCTTTCTTTCTAACTAATATTTCTTCTTTCTTTCTTTCTTTCTTTCTTTCTTTCTTTCTTTCTTTCTTTCTTTCTAACTAATCTTTCTTTCTTTCTTTCTTTCTAACTAATCTTTCTTTCTTTCTTTCTTTCTAACTAATCTTTCTTTCTTTCTTTCTTTCTAACTAATCTTTCTTCTTTCTTTCTGTCTTTCTTTCTTTCTTTCTTTCTAGCTAATCTTTCTTTCTTTCTTTCTAACTAATCTTTCTTCTTTCTTTCTTTCTTTCTTTCTAACTAATCTTTCTTCTTTCTTTCTTTCTTTCTTTCTAACTAATCTTTCTTCTTTCTTTCTTTCTTTCTTTCTAACTAATCTTTCTTTCTTTCTTTCTTTCTTTCTTTCTTTCTTTCTTTCTTTCTTTCTTTCTTTCTTTCTAACTAATCTTTCTTCTTTCTTTCTTTCTTTCTTTCTTTCTTTCTTTCTTTCTTTCTTTCTTTCTAACTAATCTTTCTTCTTTCTTTCTTTCTTTCTTTCTTTCTTTCTTTCTTTCTTTCTTTCTAACTAATCTTTCTTTCTTTCTTTCTTTCTAACTAATCTTTCTTTCTTTCTTTCTTTCTAACTAATCTTTCTTTCTTTCTTTCTTTCTAACTAATCTTTCTTCTTTCTTTCTGTCTTTCTTTCTTTCTTTCTTTCTAGCTAATCTTTCTTTCTTTCTTTCTAACTAATCTTTCTTCTTTCTTTCTTTCTTTCTTTCTAACTAATCTTTCTTCTTTCTTTCTTTCTTTCTTTCTAACTAATCTTTCTTCTTTCTTTCTTTCTTTCTTTCTAACTAATCTTTCTTTCTTTCTTTCTTTCTTTCTTTCTAACTAATCTTTCTTTCTTTCTTTCTTTCTTTCTTTCTTTCTTTCTTTCTTTCTTTCTTTCTTTCTTTCTTTCTAACTAATCTTTCTTCTTTCTTTCTTTCTTTCTTTCTTTCTTTCTTTCTTTCTTTCTTTCTTTCTTTCTTTCTTTCTTTCTTTCTAACTAATCTTTCTTCTTTCTTTCTTTCTTTCTTTCTTTCTTTCTTTCTTTCTTTCTTTCTTTCTTTCTTTCTTTCTTTCTTTCTTTCTTTCTTTCTTTCTTTCTTTCTTTCTTTCTTTCTTTCTTTCTTTCTAACTAATCTATCTTTCTTTCTTTCTTTCTTTCTTTCTTTCTTTCTTTCTTTCTTTCTAACTAATCTTTCTTTCTTTCTTTTTAACTAATCTTTCTTCTTTCTTTCTTTCTTTCTTTCTAATCTTTCTTCTTTCTTTCTTTCTTTCTTTCTTTCTTTCTTTCTTTCTTTCTTTCTTTCTTTCTTTCTTTCTTTCTTTCTTTCTTTCTTACTAATCTTTCTTTCTTTTCTTTCTTTCTAACTAATCTTTCTTTCTTTCTTTCTAGCTAATCTTTCTTCTTTCTTTCTTTCTAACTAATCTTTCTTTCTCTCTTTTTTTCTAACTAATCTTTCTTCTTTCTTTCTTTCTTTCTTTCTTTCTTTCTAACTAATCTTTCTTTCTTTCTTTCTTTCTTTCTTTCTAACTAATCTTTCTTTCTTTCTTTCTTTCTTTCTTTCTAACTAATCTTTCTTTCTTTCTTTCTTTCTTGCTAATCTTTCTTCTTTCTTTCTTTCTAACTAATCTTTCTTCTTTCTTTCTTTCTTTCTAACTAATTCATCTTTTTTTCTTTCTAATCCTTCTTTCTTTCTTTCTTTCTTTCTTACTAATCTTTCTTTCTTTCTTTCTTTCTACCTAATCTTTCTTTCTTTCTATCTTTCTTTCTTTCTTACTTTCTTTTTTCTTTCTTTCTTTCTTTATTTCTTTCTTTCTTTCTTTCTTTCTTTCTTTCTTTCTTTCTTTTTTTCTTTCTTTCTTTCTAGCTAATCTTTCTTCTTTCTTTCTTTCTAACTAATCTTTCTTCTTTCTTTATTTCTTTCTTTCTTTCTTTCTTTCTTTCTTTCTTTCTTTCTTTCTTTCTTTCTTTCTTTCTTTCTTTCTTTCTTTCTAACTAATCTATCTTTCTTTCTTTCTTTCTTTCTTTCTTTCTTTCTTTCTTTCTTTCTTTCTTTCTTTCTAACTAATCTTTCTTTCTTTCTTTTTAACTAATCTTTCTTCTTTCTTTCTTTCTTTCTTTCTAATCTTTCTTCTTTCTTTCTTTCTTTCTTTCTTTCTTTCTTTCTTTCTTTCTTTCTTTCTTTCTTTCTTACTAATCTTTCTTTCTTTTCTTTCTTTCTAACTAATCTTTCTTTCTTTCTTTCTAGCTAATCTTTCTTCTTTCTTTCTTTCTAACTAATCTTTCTTTCTCTCTTTTTTTCTAACTAATCTTTCTTCTTTCTTTCTTTCTTTCTTTCTTTCTTTCTAACTAATCTTTCTTTCTTTCTTTCTTTCTTTCTAACTAATCTTTCTTTCTTTCTTTCTTTCTTTCTTTCTTTCTAACTAATCTTTCTTTCTTTCTTTCTTTCTTTCTAACTAATCTTTCTTTCTTTCTTTCTTTCTTTCTTTCTTTCTTTCTTTCTAACTAATCTTTCTTTCTTTCTTTCTTTCTTTCTAACTAATCTTTCTTTCTAACTAATCTTTCTTTCTTTCTTTCTTTCTTGCTAATCTTTCTTCTTTCTTTCTTTCTAACTAATCTTTCTTCTTTCTTTCTTTCTTTCTTTCTTTCTTTCTTTCTAACTAATTCATCTTTTTTTCTTTCTAATCCTTCTTTCTTTCTTTCTTTCTTACTAATCTTTCTTTCTTTCTTTCTTTCTACCTAATCTTTCTTTCTTTCTATCTTTCTTTCTTTCTTACTTTCTTTTTTCTTTCTTTCTTTCTTTATTTCTTTCTTTCTTTCTTTCTTTCTTTCTTTCTTTTTTTCTTTCTTTCTTTCTAGCTAATCTTTCTTCTTTCTTTCTTTCTAACTAATCTTTCTTCTTTCTTTATTTCTTTCTTTCTTTCTTTCTTTCTTTCTTTCTTTCTTTCTTTCTTTCTTTTTTTCTTTCTTTTTTTCTTTCTTTCTTTCTAGCTAATCTTTCTTCTTTCTTTCTTTCTAACTAATCTTTCTTTCTTTCTTTCTTTCTTTCTAGCTAATCTTTCTTCTTTCTTTCTTTCTAACTAATCTTTCTTCTTTCTTTCTTTCTTTCTTTCTTTCTAACTAATTCATCTTTTTTTCTTTCTAATCCTTCTTTCTTTCTTTCTTTCTTACTAATCTTTCTTTCTTTCTTTCTACCTAATCTTTCTTTCTTTCTTTCTATCTTTCTTTCTTTCTTACTTTCTTTTTTCTTTCTTTCTTTCTTTCTTTCTTTCTTTCTTTCTTTCTTTCTTTCTTTCTTTCTTTCTAACTAATCTCTTTCCTTCTACCAAATCTTTCTTTTTTCTTTCTTTCTTACTAATCTTTCTTTCTTACTAATCTTTCTTTCTTTCTTACTAATATTTCTTTCTTTCTAACTAATCTTTCTTTCTTTCTAACTAATCTGTCTTTCTTTCTTTCAAACTAATCTTTCTTTCTTTCTAACTAATCTATCTCTCTTTCTTTCTAACTAATCTTTCTTTCTAACTAATCTTTCTTTCTTTCTAACTAATCTGTCTTTCTTTCTAATTAATCTGTCTTTCTTTCTTTCAAACTAATCTTTCTTTCTTTCTAACTGATCTATCTCTCTTTCTTTCTAACTAATCTTTCTTTCTAACTAATCTTTCTTTCTTTCTAACTAATCTTTCTTCTTTCTTTCTTTCTTTCTTTCTTTCTAACTAATTCATCTTTTTTTCTTTCTAATCCTTCTTTCTTTCTTTCTTTCTTACTAATCTTTCTTTCTTTCTTTCTTTCTACCTAATCTTTCTTTCTTTCTATCTTTCTTTCTTTCTTACTTTCTTTTTTCTTTCTTTCTTTTCTTTCTTTCTTTCTTTCTTTCTTTCTTTCTTTCTTTCTTTCTTTCTTTCTTTCTTTCTTTCTTTCTTTCTTTCTTTCTTTCTTTCTTTCTTTCTTTCTTTCTTTCTTTCTTTCTTTCTTTCTTTCTTTCTTTCTTTCTTTCTAACTAATCTCTTTCCTTCTACCAAATCTTTCTTTTT